TTGTCATACCACAGTGTTCATATTTGTATGGTCTGTGTTGTCATACCACAGTGTTCATATTTGTATGGGCTGTGATGTCATACCACAGCGTTCAATTTTGTATGGACTGTGATGTCATACCATAGTATTCATATTTGTATTGTCTGTGATGTCATACCATAGTGTTCATATTTGTATGGACTGGGATGTCATACCACAGTGTTCATATTTGTATGGACTGTGATGTCATAACACAGTATTCATGTCATTTTAACAGGAGAACCTTCCAGACTCACCACCAGTTCTAGTGACCACAACACCTGATAAACAGTCATGGCTGGCTGAACTTGATGGGCCACTAGAGAAGAAATCTCGCGGCACACCTGACCATCTGAACCGGTCCTGGGAGTCATTGTCTAACTGCACACCAGAACGCATCTTCTTGGATTCCACACTCGATGGTACTTTACAGCGTAGTCAGATGTCTGAGGAAGAGATTTCCAATTATAACTATGGAGATGCAGCATCTGTTCATGAAATGACAGAGTATGATGAGAGCTCATCTAGTGATGATTCAGATGTGGAGTGAGTAAATATTTGCTTATACCATTAATTTTATGTAATTACTGAAATGGCTGCCAGTGGGTGACAACTCTGTTTACTTTTATTTTGTAGATTTGACATTGAACCTGTTGCAATACCAGCTGAGCATTCTGATCATTGGCAGAAATCACCGCAATGGGATTTGTCTGATGATGATGACTATTCGTGGGATGAAAGTGATAATGATTATGAAGAAGATGATTATGATTATGGTGAGACTAGTAGAATATATACCTTGAATTTAACCTTTATTTCATTATTGTAGTGGTGAGAATAACAGGATGTATGCCTTGATGATGTGGTGAGATTAGAAGATACTATGATTTAAGTCATTAAGCCATTCAGATAGTGAATTTGTCTAATACGAAATATTAAGATTAGCATGATATAAAGACTTAAGCCATTTAGGTTGTAGTGAGATTAACAGGATATTTTCTCAAACCTAAGCCATTAAGTCGTTGAGGTAGTGGTGAGCTTAGCTATCAAGCCATTTATATATCCATCATCCAATTTATTTATTCAAACAGAATCTGATGACGATCTTAGTGATGGAGAAATGGTTCCAGTGGAAGTTGACTCGAGAAATCTTGCTTGGACGGAACCAGAGAGCCCAAAAGAAAATGTAATGGCAGAGAATGAAGTGAATAACATAGAGTCAGATGCAGAAGGAGAAAAAACACCAGAAGCTGCTGATTCTTCTAATGAAGAATTGCAACCACTGTCAGAATCGTTGACAAAACAAGAATTTCCTGAAATTCAGCAGACTGAACCGCAGCCAGAGCCTCAGAACAAGGACTCACCTGAAGAACTATTTGACCATCAGGGATTTGTTGCTAGCATGACCAGCTTAAAATTGCAGTGGCTGAGCAATCCAGAGCCTCCAGATCATTCAATGTGGGGACGTAGACGATTACCATCAAAGACTCCTAAAACCGTGAGTCTTGAGGAAGAAAAACCACCTCCTATTCCTCCATTACCATCACAAGAAGACCTCGTCAAAGCTCACATAATCAAAGCTGAAGATATGACAGCAGAGAAAGTCAAACCCGATATTGATGATGAAGACACTTCTGTTGAAACTGTGGAAGAAGTGGTACTTGTTGATAAAGTGACTGAAGAAGAAGAAATTATAAAAGAACAACTACCAAAGGGTGACTTGGTAAGTGTAATTGAGGTAGAAGAAAAAGAGGCTGCTACTTTGATGATGAATGATGATGAGTTGAAAGTCCAAGATTTAGAGGAAGGAGAGATTTTAATGGACGAGATTGAGGAAAATGAATTAGGTGAAGTTCCTGTGAATACCTGTCACATTGAAGAGGAATATGAAGATGATTTTGAAGAAGATGTGGATGAAGATCACAAATTTGATGAAACAGGTTCTCTGGATGCATTTGAAGATGAAATAGAAACTTTAGAATGGAATTCTGCCACTGATAAGACTGGTATATTAGATGTACCTATTGTGGAGGATAAAGTATCTCATAATTTGCACCAGGAAACATTACTGAAAGAATCAAAAACAAATTTAGGTGATGTTGTTGAACAAGAAGCTGTTCTTAATGCTGATGATGATAAAGATGATAATGATTTGATAAATGATATAGATGATGTTGTTAAACACAAAGCTGTTGATAATGCTGATGATGATAATGATTTGATAAATGATATAGATGATGTTGTTAAACACAAAGTTGTTGATAATGATTTGATAAATAATGTAGTTGAACAGGAAGTTATTGTTGACAATGGTAATGCTTTAATTGATGTTACCGATGGTGTGGTTGCTATTAATAGTGACAATACAAAGAAAGATTCACTGGATGAAAAGCAAGACACAGTTCATGTAGAACAATTGAATGGTATTGATGAGATCGAGAAAAGTTCTGATTCTGATGAAGCTAACATAGCTGAAATATATGGAGCAACCTTGGCATATATTGATGACCAATCTGAGAGTGTTTCAGAGAAAGACGATCTAACAAGTAATGACACCATGGATGCTGTGGACAGGGAGAAAGACTTCGAAGAGTTAGCATGCTTTACACCAAGAGAGGATAAACCTAATGGAAATGTAGTGAACCATGATACTGAGCATGTAGAATCTTATGAACAGAATCTGGCAGATGTATATGGAGAAACTTTAGCTAGAATAGAGACTACGGAGTCACCAGTTGATGAGAAAAAGATTGAGGACATATTTAGGTATCAACAAAGCATTGGTGATTCAGCAGAGATACTCACAGCTGATGAGAAGCAGGATTTGGCAGTTGGAGAAAAGTCACAATTGATGGATGAAGATATCAAAGATGATACTATAAAAGCTGAGATTCAAAGTCTGAAATCTATGTGTGAGAATACAGAGGACAAGGAGGCTGTAATAGATGATTCATTTACTAGCTTTGTTGTAATAGATGATGATGTAGCAGGTAATCAAGAGAGGTTTGCAGTATCAGATGAAGAAGTAGAAATGGGTGTAGAATGTTTAGAAAACAAGTCTTATGTGAACACCCCTGAATGCACTCCTGAACTGAACATTGATGCTAGGAATATTACTGTCCGGAAAGTAAGAACACTTGAAAGTGTTTCTTCTGATTTTGCAATAATTTCATGTTCAGATCCTTCTTTGGTTTCACATGATATTCCTAGTATTTGTGACTTTGAAAAGGAGAGTGAAGTGGAAGAAAGTTTTTGTAACATATCACTTGCTGGCCAGACAACAGACTCAGCAACTATTCAAGACCTTGACGTTTCTTTTAATAGTACATGTGAAGACTCTAGCAATATATATGCCACTCCAGATAGTAGCCTTAATTATGGTGACACATTTTTTGAATCCCTTGACAAGACAGACAGAACATCAACAATGTCCACGGAACATTCATCTCGGCCTGAATCAGTTATATCATTGGAAAATATTGACTGTATAAATGAGGATCTGAATATCTCTATTATGAGTACAGATTCAGACTCAAATGATTCCATCCGTGAGACCTTAGAAATGTATGCTAAGGAACTGGAATACCAGAGTACACGGGATGCAGGGGGAGATGAAGATACACTGCCAAGGACTCCTGGAGATGAGTCAAAACTCTTTCCTACAGTAGAACTCAAAGATCAGAGAAACAATGTGCAGAGTAGGGATGAAATGGAAACTAAGACAAAGAATGAAATGGAAACTAAGACAAAGAATGAAATGGAAATTAGGACAAAGGATGAAATGAAAACTAAGACAAAGAATGAAATGGAAATTAGGACAAAGGATGAAATGAAAATTGGGACAAAGGATGAAATGCCCATCCTTGAGGTAAAAGAGAAAGAAACCCAGAAGACAAAAAAGAAGCACCAAAAAAAGAAAATGCATGTTGATTCGTTTGATGATATATTTGTGAAAGAGAATAGATCAGCTGAAGTTGTCAATAAAAAATCAGACAAAGCTAGGACTGAGAAGAAAGTCAAAGGTAAGGCTAAAAAATATGTTGCCTCAGATGTTAATGATGAGTCATCGGCTGCAAAGTGTGACACCTTGTCTGCTAAAGGTGATACTGTCTACAAAGGTACGGCTAAAGCAAAGGTTGAAGAAAAGAGGAAAGAGTCAGAATCTGCCTTGAAATATCGACCTCTTCCAGTAGCTCCATCAGCACTTAAGGGAGCTGTGAAGTCAGATGAAGGTGGAGTAACTAAGTCAAAGACACCAAAACATGAAATTAGAAAAGAGAAAAAAACATTTGACCAATTACCAAGTAAAAAAGGAAGCAGAGACTCATCTCCTGTTGTCACGGTTTCTCCTGGTGATAAGGAAGTGGAATTCAACAAGAGTCCTAAGAAAGCTGGGAAAAAATTATCTAGTACAGGAAAAGCTTGTGGATCTGCTGATGGAAAATCCCCTAAGTCACCAAAGGAAAGAAAGGGTAATACTCTTAAAAAACTCAAAGATGAAATCAAAAAAATTGATTTGGATGGCAAGTCTAAAAGTCCATCAAAAAGCAAACCTGACACTAGTCTTGTGAAGGAGAGTTCTAAAAGCAAAATGAATAACAAAAAGAAGAATGAGAATACAAGAGAGAAGTCGCCAGAGAAGAAAGTGCTAGCACCTCTTGCTAAACTTGATATGTCAGATGATCTACTTTCTGATGATTGTGTATTAATGGATCAACCCTCTGTGAAGCCCAAGGTACAAACAAGTGGTAGTTACAAACCAAGGCCACTTCCCCCAAGACCAGGTAAGTCTATTTAAACCAATACCAATTTGCATAATTCATTTTTCATAGATTTACATCTGCCAACTCTGTGAAGCTGCCAATTTGTTTCTTTGGTGTTCATTGTACATGTACTAGCATATTGATTATAGAGGAGAAGTACTTGTAATATTTATAATAGAATTAGTTTATGTGTCATGAATGGAGCCCGCAGTGCTCATTAACGTAAATTATGACAAGTACTTACAGAATGACCTTCATGCGTCTCCCCATTATCTTAGGCATGCCATGATCAATCACATCACTTGAAAAGGCTATTTCCTGATGCATTTTGCATGCCTTGACTGATGCAATCAAACATAAAAACATAAATTGTACATTATAAATCATGTCACACATATAAACATGCATTTGTTTCGCACAGTTGTGATTCAAAATGGCTGACTCATTTCATTCTTGCTGTCCTAACAATGACAAATGTCATGTACCGGAATGAATTGTTGATAACATAACTTAAAGATACAATATAACAGTCTTGCTAAATTGAAAAGTAATATCTATCATTGTTTTTAAGATACGAAGGTGATGGCAGTGGCAGTATAGTTAGTACTGGAGATCAAGTGCATCTTCTACATCCAGTGACATCGAAGATCTTTCTGGAATGGTACCACCACTATCACTG